AGATGGTTATTAGCTGCCATGTGGGTGCTGGGAATCCAACCTGGGTCCTCTACAAGAGCAGTCAGTGCCCTTAACCTCTGAGCCATTTCTCCAGTCCCCACAATTACAGATTTAAAAAAAATACCAGCTAATCCCATTTCCAACACTAACCTACATCATTTGGTCTAACACACCAAAGATGAGATCTGAATACCACAGCTTGGAAATTTTTCTTAGGATCACTGGAGATGAATCAGTCTTGTCTCCCCCATGCCACCGTGCTCTGTTTTGGGAGTGAGTGGTAGCCACATGTTGAAGCCAAGTCCCATTCTGTGTCTGTGCCTCCACTCTTCTCCCTATTACCAGCAATACAGGGTAAACCAAGGAATGGGGACTATGTTCATTATTGTTAGGAGGGATGAAGGGAAAGAAGCACTTATTCAAGTCTCCCTGTATGCTAAGCCCTAAACGTGCATGAGCTCACTGGCTCCCACAAGTCTCAACTACAGAGCTGGGTCTGGATCAATAGTCTCACAGGATGTTAGAACTGAGGCTCATGCTCCAGACCCCTGCCCACCAATCTCTGCATCTTCAGCCAGGGAGCTTACTTAGGAGTCCTTTGTTTAGAACCACATTTACCCACCGATCATATGATAAGTTTGGGGCTAGCCTGGGCTATGTGAAATCCTATCTCAAGTAAAACAAAATAACGTCAGCATTCCATTCTGATGCTGAGTTTCTAGAACCGAGTGAGACTCGATGAGACAACTCAAGGCCTCTTACCCATCAGTAAGTACAAATTTCTGAGAATTAAACTAGAAGCCAGGTTAACAAAACTACGGAAGGAACCAGATAGCTTGAGCGTCTTTGCATTAAGGGTCTTTTTTTTTAATTTTTAATTTTTTTTAATTTTATATGTATGTGTGTATTGCCTGCGTGTAGGTAGGTGCACCTTGTCATGCAATGCCTGCGAAGGTCAGAAGAGGCTGTCGGATCCCCTGGGACTGGAGTTACGGACAGTTGTTAGCTGCCATGTGGGTGCTGGGATTCGAACCCAGGTCTTCTGCAAGAACAACCATTGTTCTTAACTGCTGAGCCATCTCTCCAGCCCTGGGGGTCTTTTTAATTTTCACTTTTTTGGTCTTTTTGGGACAGGTTCTCTCTGTAGCTCCAGGTGATCTGTAAATCACTATGTAGACCAGGTTGGCCTAGACCTCACATAGATTCTCCTGCCTCTGCTTCCCAAGTGCTGGGATCAAAGTCGTGCATCACCATGCCTGGCTTCAGAGTCTTTATTGTCCTTTGTTTACATTATGTCTCTGGGAGCTGAAGAGATGGCTCAGCAGTTAACAACACTGGCTGCTCTTGCAGAAGACCCAGGTTCAGTTCCCAGCACCCACATGGCAGCTGACAACTGTCCATAACTCCAGTTCCAAAGGATCCAACGCCCTCTTCTGAACTCCATGGGCATTGCATGCACTTACATACATTCAGGCAATGCACTCATACACATAAAATTTAAAAAAATAAAAGCATTTCAATAATGTCTGTGTGTATGGATCTGTGCATGTTGAGTGCTGGTGTTCACGGCATCAGATGCTGCTTAGTTGGAGTTAGGGGCATTGTAAGCTACCTGACCTGAGAGCTAGGAGCAGAACTCGGGTTTTCTGCAAGAGCAATCCTCTTTTTACCACTGAGCCATCACTCCAGCACTGAGGTTCTCTTGATAGCTGCCATTTCGTTTTGGCAGGCAAAAGTATGGGCCTGCCTTTTTGGTTTGTTTTGGATTTTTATTATTATTATTTTATTCATCATTTTTGTTTTATGTGTCTGAGTGCGTTATCTGAATGTATATAAATGCACTCATGCCATGCAATGCTGGTGGAGGTCAGAAGGTGTCAAATCCCCTGGAACTGGAGTTACAAATGGTAACCCGTCATGTGGGTGCTGGGTATCAAACCCGGGTCTTCCGCAGGAGCAGCCATGCTCTAAGTACTGAGCCAATTCTCCAGCCTTGTTCTGGGTTTTTCTTTGTTCTGCTATTTATTTGAAGAGCAGCTACCAAAGAACAATGCTGGCTCCACTTCACACATTTATTTAACAATGAAAATTCCCCAAAGTCCAACATATACAGAAACAAGTACAGCTTTTACATTTTCATGGTTGAGCCGAGATCCTAGCTCAGTGGCAGAGCATCTGCCCAACATCCACAGCGGCCCAAGTTTTATCCCCAGTGCTGTTAGCAATAATGATGATGCTAGTAATAATGGTAATAATAATAATAGTAATAATAACAGCTTCCATAGTAAAATAGGTCCAGTCAGTTAACTCAAGCGTCTCCATCTGCTGTGAATGCAACACACGTCATAATGACTGTTCCTGGTGGTTAGCTATGGCCTAGGCACCTTAGCATTAGCCCAGATCGTTCCTTAAATGTACCGTGAGGCTGCGTTTCTGATTTTCCAGCAAGGTGCATGGTTGCTGCCCAGGTAAAATTTAACCCCATCCCCCCCACACTTTGTTTGCAGTGGTCCTCGCCACTTGGTGCCCCCATCCAGCAGCTTTTCTCAATCTGCTCGGTGAAGAGGTTGTCCAGCATCCACTCTTCCCTCTGGGCATAGCTGTGCTCTCCCCATATGGGTGGGGCCCATGGTGGAAAAGCCGCTAGGGGTTCACAGCTGGAGTTGGAGGTGGCTCTGTGCCCCTACTCGAAGCTACCCAAGACACCAAGTCTACCCCAGTGGCCATGGTAGATTCCACTCACCCAATAGCTTGAGAGATAAGGACACACACTAGCCACTTCCACCATCCAAGGGGAGGTAACATTCTCAAGGCTTCTTCAGCAGGAGTCTCCAACTCCTATTTCTAATAGGCAGATCACATGTCCCAAAGGTCCATCAAGTCCTCAGGTCAACATTTCCCTCTCTGAGGCTGTCCCTGCCACCTAGCCCACCCCCTCCCTGCTCACATGAGACTGTGAGTTCTGTATTCTCTTCCTGATTCATCTGCACCTGAGGTTTCTGCTGTCAAGAGCTGGAAAAAATTGGTAGATAGCACCCCCAGCTAGACAGGGTTACAGCCCTGACACTGATTGGGTTCTGGCTCGTAGACAGCCCAGTTGCCGGAGGGAGGACAAGGAATGACACTAAACCAGACTGTCCTGGCGTGTTTCAATGGCTTCACCACTCTACTCAGCTCCTCACGAAGCTGCTGTAGTCTCCTGCGGTGGTATGCACCCTGGGCACTGTAAATCTCCCAAGGGGTGGAATACATCTCCAGGCGTAAGCAGCTCAGTTGGGCAATGTGGCACAGCAGGCTCTCCAGGGTGGCCACTGAGATGGGGTTCCTTAAGTAGTTGAATGTGGTAAGCTTGGAGCAGAGGCTCAGGGCAGGAATGAAGGCACTGAGCTGGGAGTCTACAATCCTACAGTCCTCCAAGTCCAGCGTCTTCAAGGTGCCTGCAACTCTCTCCAGTAGAACTCGGAGGGGCTCAGGACTTATGTCGGTTAGTATGATGCTGCTGGGGTTCAGGTGTTTGAGCTGATGGATGCTTGGACACCAGGAGAGAGACTTCAAGTGTACTTCTGAAAGCTGGCAGTCACTGATGGAGAGGGTCTCCAAGGGAGCCTTCAGGCACCTAGGGAGAAACCAAGCAGTTAATTTTGGCAAACAAAAATGGTTGGGTTAGGGAGTTGGGGGAGTGACCTCAGGGGAGGGTGGACCATTTGTTCCAAGCTCAAAGTCACTCTGGCCACCTGATAAAAGTCAACATCCAGGATGTTGCCTGATTACTTAAGTTACCCTACACTAGACTTATGCCTATCTGTATCACTGTGGGACTGACTCAGTCAACTCCTTTCCACATTGTCAAGCAGAAAACCACAGCACTGGCCACATTAAGGCCGCAGGAGAAAAACAGGAATCTGGACCAACCCAGGCACCATCTAACAACATCCCGGGGTGCCACCTCATTGGGCCCTGCATCCTCAGCACAGCCTCTGCAACCTTTTCCAGGCTCCTCCCCTGCCCCTTGCCCTCAACCCCAGAGTCACTCACTTCCTATCTACTCAGTTCTCATGTCTCACCTTTTACACATGGGGAAATAGAGGTAGGATGGCGTGCTGGTTCACACAGCTGCCAAGCACAGAGCTCACCTGGGAGACTGAGCAGATGTGAGGCCTCCCCTCCTTCAGCCTCTTCACTTGCCCTTCCCCTCCTCTTGGCTCAGCAGGTTCCTGAGCAGGAAGCCACTGGACCTGAACCCTCACTGGGACTGAACCACCCAGCTGTCTTCCTGGCTCGGAGATCCTTTTCAGACTATCTACCCTAATGTAAAGGGATGAGGATGTAGTTCAATTGGTGGAGTGCTTGCCTGGCACTGGATTTCATCCCTAGCAACCCATAAACTAAGCATGGTGGCACATGCCTGTGTTCTCTACACGGGAAGTAGAGGGAAGAGGATCAGAAATCCAAAATCGACCAACTACATGTGAGTCTAAGGCCAGCCTGAGAAACATGAAGCCATGTTTCAAAAACAAAAGAAGGGTTGGAGAGACAGCTCAGCAGTTGAGAACTTTCAGAGGACCTGAGTTTGGTTCCCAGTATCCACATGGCAGCTAATAATCTTCCTTAACTCCTTAACTCCAGTTCTGGGAGATCTGATGCCCTCTTTTGGCTTCTGAGGGCATGCACACATGTAGTGTGTGTGTGTGTGTGTATACATAATATGTAAGACACTTGTGTATACATAATATATATATATATGCAAGACACTTGTGTATACACAAAATAAAATTTAAAAAAGAAACACCCACTCCAACATTAGCCCTTTCTCTTTATGTGGGTGTTTATATAAAATCTGGCTTCAGGATAAAACATGTATCAATGTTGTGGTGTCTAGATTTCCAGCTGGCTGGAGCACTGGTGCCCAGTAAATTAATCAAACAAAGAAAAGGCTTTTCTATGGTCCGCAGCCTCACCTGAGCAGCTGGTCCAGGTGGCCTTTGAAGAAGGAGCCTGAGTCCAGGGAAAGCTCCTGGAGGCAGTCCAGGTTGAGAAACTGAGAGGTAAAGTGGGTGACAAACTCTTCCTTCTCCTCTGGGGACATGGAAGCAGGCACAGAGACGGTGGAGAGAAGGAACTTTTGAAGATTTCTCATTTGGCCCAGGTAAGGAGCAAAGCTGGTGAGGGTGGCGGACTTCCTAGGGCATTATATTTCCACTTCCTGCATATAGTCCAGGTTCAGCATTTCCAGAACCTTCTGGATGTTCTGGATGGCTCCTGCGGAGATCTTCAACTTTTTACAGCCCAGCTGCAACAAACCTTTTCTCTCCTCAACCCACAGGAAGAGGTAGGCCAGGAAGGCATCCAAGGCTCTTTGCTTGAGGCACAGGTCTACAATCACCTCCAAGGGCTGCCAAGCCCCTGTCCTTGAACAATTCCCTTGTGTTTTCTTCTTGCTCTTGGTCTGTGGAAAGCAAACTTCTGCCCTACCTCCAGCCCATACATTCCAGAAGTTCTGATGTAAATTCCACAAATCCAGAACTTGCAGTTTGCACCTCCTGTGGGAGCAACAAGTCTCAGAATTAAGCCAGGCATGGTGGCACACGCCTTTAGTCCCAGCACTCGGGAGACAGAGGCAGGTGGATTTCTGTGAGTTCAAGGCTAGCCTGGTCTACACTGTGAGTTCCAGGACAACTGGGGCTACAGAGAATTAAATCAAGGACCCACACTCCACCTGGGTTTTCTCCCTTACTTTTTTGAGATAGGGTCTCATTCTCACTATGTAGGCCAGGCTGACCTTGAGATTGCAACCCTCCTGCAGCAGCCTCCTGAGGGCTAGAATTACAGGCCAGCACCACAGTGCCAGTTCTCAACCCCATCAGCTTTCTCTTCTCTTTGTCTTACTGCTCTCCATCTCTTCCTCTTGAATCCAGCCTGGTCCTATTCCTAGTGCCTGTGGGAGGAGGCAGTGACAGGCACTTTCAACATAGCTGCACCTGTCCTAAGCAGTCCTAAATACTCCACTCTGTTTCCTAGATGGCTCAGTAATGGTCCACGTATCTACAATCCTCATTGGTGCCATAAGAACCTGTGATTCTCCTTTTTGTCTTCCATTCTCTCTGCCCTGGACCCCTAGACCTCCCTTCTAGAATACCCGAGTTAACCTTACCTGGAGTGAACCTTCTGGCCAAGCAGTGTATCAATTCCATCCAGGGCAACTTGTAAGGTCTCCAGGAAAGGCACCTTCATCTTTATCAGGCCACCCAAGGGAAGGCAGGGGAAAGGCCAGGTCTGCACCATCGCCCTCAGAATCTTAGTGCATCTGTTGGTAAAAGCCTCCTTGAACAGTGCTGGGAAAAGCTCCTTGGGTAGGCCCTCCAGAGCAGAGACGGCCAAGGCCTCATTCTTCAGCAGACTCTGCCTGGCCAGCTCCAGCAATGTGGGTGGGGCCTGCAAGCTCATCTTGATGGATCTTCGAGGATAAAAGATCCTGGGGGAAATGTCTAAGGAAAAACAACCTTTCAGGCCAAGGATTAAGACCCTCCAAGATCCCACTCAGGATCACAATGACTTCTCTGGAAATAGTCCTGTTTACTCAAACATTTCCAGCATGGTCCCACTGAATTCTGTGCCCCCTCATCCTGCAACGGGGTCCAAGGAGACTGAAAGCTCACCCTAACTCTTTGGGGAAAAATTTCTAATTATGACTCAAGTCTCTACAACAAAGACAGAATGGCATATGACCTAACACAGTCCTCATTCTGAGTTCCAGCAATGAACTTGGCTGGGAATAGCTCAGGTGACTTTTAAGGTGAGTACTCTTGGGGCTGGAGTGATGGCTCAGCAGTTAAGAGCATTGTGTGCTTTTTCAGAAGACCCAGGTTCGATTCCTAGCACCCACATGACAACTAACAACCATCTGTAACTCCAGTTCCAGGTGATCCAACGCCCTCTTCTGACCTCTGTGGGCATCACGACACGGTTGTACCTACCTACATACAAACAATATACTCATACACATTAAATAAAGATTTTTTTTTATGTGTATGAGTGTAATGCCCTCAGAGGTCAGAAGAAGGCATCAGATCCCCTGGAACTGGAGTTACAGATGGTTGTTAGCCACCATGTAGGTGCT